AACACTATTCATGAACCTATGCATAAGCGTTACTAAACTACCATTCTCCTCTTGAGGTGGTTGTCTCCCTTTCCTGTTATTGTAGTCATAATAAGGTTATTCATCCCAATCAGAGTCAGAATTACGCCCATATGAATCCTCGTACATGTACGAACCAGAAATAGAGTGAGGCTGTTCAAAATAAGAACCATAGAAAGAATACATACCTGTTGACAGTCAACCCACAGATCATTTCCACCGCATTTAAAACAAATAGAAAACCCTGATAATGTTCAACTGCTAACTCTTCAACCGCTTAATTAGGCTGGTTCTACTCCATCTTCACAGCATTTAGAGTTCAATATCTACAATATTTTCTCCAACTTGTTAGGTACTACAAAACAAATCTTAAAAAGAAGTTAACTAATAAAGAAAATAAACTACAAAAAGGAAAAAGAAAAGAAAAAAACTAAAACATAATTCCTGAATTAGCACCAAAAGCTACTTTGAACACTATTAATTGCCAATCCCCAACAACGACGCTAAAATTTGACGAGCTCGAAATACACACTTAAATTATGCTCGCTAGTCAAAGATAGTATAGTATAATATCGTATCCACAGGGATTGGAGTTAAATAGTATTTTCGTACTTTCTACCTTGATTACTATCCAAGAGAATCAACAATCGAGATTTATATGATTAATAACTAAAATTAATTAAGAACCTAAATCTATTGACTAATGACTATCGAAACAAGGAATAAGCAAAGAAGGTTATCAATGGGAGAAGATAGGGTTTTAATAAGATAGGTGCAAGATAACTGTTCGGGATCTAACTCTAGATAATTCACTTCTAATGTTCAAGTGAGTCTCTTGAATTCACTCAATTATTAGTTCAAACTTTTAGTAGAAGTTCCTCTCTCCATTAAGTCTCAACCTCACAAGATGAATCAATCTAAGCCATGTGAACATATGCAAGAATTCGTAGTGGATTGGCCTTTAGGAAAACCTCTTTCGGTTATCCTCCTAACTAGGTTTAATCTAGGATTCAACTAGCCTCTTTCGATTACTTAAAAGAATCTCTGAACTGAACCAACAATATAATGCAAAAATATCACAAGTTATGCCTCTCTCGATTACATGAACATGTGAATATAGATGCAACAGTTAAATCATCCAAAAACACTTCAATACATAAAACTAGAGTTATAATCCATAAACAATCATAAATACACCAAATCCATCAAACGCTAAAGGGAACTACTCCATAGATATGGAGTAATTCATCACAAATATAATTAACTTCTATGAAAACATAAATTCAATCTAAACTCAGGCCTTGAGTGGGGAAGGAATGATGAAATCCTCGTGCTTTTGCTCTTCCAACTCCTCCTTAGCCTCCTTAGGTCGAATGTGTGTCAAAAGTCCAGAAAATAATGTTTCTACATGTATCTATATCAAGTAGGATCAGGCCCAAACGAAATCACCTTTTCCTAGACGAAATAGAACATTTACTCTGTAAAAATTGCACAGGCGCGTCGCATGGGGCGACACACCACGCGAGGCATTAGTGGTAAAATATAAAGAGCTGAACAACTCAACAGGCTGCAAAAATACATTGTTGCGTCACACTATGCCTCGCACTCTGCGTCGCACTAGTGCAAATTTCACAGAGTACGGCTCAAATCTTGCGTTTTGACGTCCAAACTTGGTCATCGACCCCCGAACACGATCCCGGTTTAATCCCTTGGGCTTTTACTCAAACTTCAAAGCTCCAAATAACTCAAATTAGCTCCACAACATCTACATCACTCGAATCACTCTTACAAGGCATAACGCACACAATAAGTGCACAACACTACCAATTAAAGCTCAAAATAAGTGAAGTGCAGTGAATTAGAGTGCAATAAGTGACTAAAATAGGGGATTATAGCTACCATCTCCTGCACAAAATTAGGATTAATTGCAACGGTCAATGCTTTTTTTGCTCAGCTAGTCCTGAAATTAGTGACCACATCTTCTTGGAATGCCCCAATGTAACCCAATTCTAGCATAAAATTCTAGCCAAGGGATCTACTGAAAGTCAGTAATTAAATCTCATATTCTCAGCTCAACTATGGCCATTAACATGGAATAAGCTCTCTTTCAACAACATCATGGGAGAACATCATTCCTTTTTGTTTTTGGCACATCTGGCTAGCAAGAAACTATGACCTTTTCAATAATAAAAAAGATAACTTTAGTGTTAATAAAACCGTCCCAAAGCAACAGAGTACTATATGATAGCACAAAATGGTACTATTAGGAGGTCATTCCATACCAGAGTTAAATTGGAACCGCCAAGGAGGGGCCACTATAAACTCAACACGGATGGGACAACCAAGGGCAACCCAGGCATTGGGGAAACTGGTGGAGTATTCAGGAATCATAGTTGGGATTGTATTATGGGGTATATATAAAAATACCACATACCACCAACTCCATGGCAGAACAAAAAATCACTGCTAAGGGGCCTCCAACTCGCAGAACAAAATAGCTGGATTCCACTAGACATAAATACAATTCGGCTAAAGTAATAAAAATGCTACTCACAGGCTACATAACTTACGATCATATGATTTGTGAATGCATGTTATTAATACAAAGGATGGACAAGGTAATGGTGAGGCACAACTACACGGAACAGAATAGAGTGGCGATGCACTGGCAAAGGAGGCAGCAAATTTAAGTTTTTTAGGTAGAACTACCATGCTAGCAGTTCCTCTGATATTTGCAAATGATGTATTTTGGGCGGACATCATTGGAACTGAAGTAGTTAGAAATTTTTGGGCATGTAATATTGATACAATTGAACAAAATATGGCCGTCTTAGGGGAACCGCAATACCCCAATTTAAATAGTAATCTGCAATGTGTGTGTATATATATATATATATATGTATATGTATATATATATATATATATATATATATATATATATATATATATATATATATATATTCTCTTTAACAAAAGAAAAAGATTCTTTTCTCTAAGATAATTTTTGTTGTATTCCTTAAAATCAATTCTTTTAAGTTATATTTTACCTCTTTAGAATAATAGTTATATTTCTCTATTTCTATAACAATATTTTATATAATAGTCACTATAAAAGTCAAGTTTTGGAATTTATTTTTTAAGTTATATTTTACCTCTTTAGAATAACTTTTTACCTGTAACAGCAACAACTATATTTACAACAGGATACTCTTTATAAAATTATCCCTCTATAATAGCCATGTAGAATCTCTAAGATTACTAGTAATAATTTTAAAATTCTGCATACAATTTCTTCTCTTGAATAAAGTTTTCATCTTGCATAGTACGTAAGATTTGAACATCTGTAGTATGTGATATCTTTTTTATTGGACAAATATCAAAAAATAATTAGATAGAAGATTCAACAGTTAAGCGCTTAGATCGCCTTCAAAGGAAAGCTATCGAATACCCTTTTGCTAAAAGTTTGGATACATATCTTCGTTAATTAAGCGTTATATTGCTAGTAAGAGAATGGAATCTATGGAACAAGCGACAATACAAAATTCTTTCATCAATCTTGAAAGAATTTATTTTTTAGTAGTCTTAAAACATGTAGCTTCAAATACATTTTTGTATGTTTAGTTATAGATTTATTAATAATAGCTTTTCTAAATATTTAATTAATGAAATCTGCATACTTTTTGAGATTTTAAATTTAAATAATTTTCTTATATTTTATGTGTAACATTAAAAAACAAATTTGTATCTGGATAATTTTGTCTATAACGGCTGAAAAATATTTAAACGTGAGATGTTATTATGATTGTATAACAACCATTTACTATAAAAGAGAAAAATAAGGGAAAAATTAATGTTGTAGAGAAGTTTGACTGTATCAAAATTCAAAATTTATATATACAAGTTAACAACGAACCCTTTGCTCCTTAACATATATGAAAAAGATTACAAAGAGATCCTAGTTTCCTAGTTTAATACAATCTCTATATTACAACAAGGAAAGGAAAGAAAATATTTACATAGTATAATATTATGCGACCCGGAGGCCGCAAAGAGGGTCTACGATTTGCATATTAATTTTGAGACTTGCAATAAAAAACAAATTGCTCAAAAACTGGTATGTTCTAGATAATTATGTGGTTGTTCCGCGACTTGCAGAATAGATGCATAATAATTTCCTTATCCTTCAAAAATAAATTTAAAGAACAATTTTTTTTTTTTTTTGGTATAATGAACTATTTTAAATGTAATTTCTGGTCCGCTTTTTTTCAGTTAATCTATTGCCCTTCGAGAGGCTAGAGAATTTCAAAATTTTGACTAAAACTTTGGAGTAGTTAAAGATCTGATTAACTAATATGAACCTAGCACGTAACTAACTGTTATAGGGTACTAATAATAATCACATTAGTTAACCAAAGTTTTAGGTAATCAATCAATATACGTTTATTCAAAAAATGAAAAAAACTAATGTACGTTTCAATTGGTTAAAAAAATAAAAATAATATACGTTCAACATTTGTTTGCAAGATTTACAAATGCAAAACATGACACACTGGGAGTTTTTCAAACAATATACCTTATTTTTTAAGCGATAATACAAAATATAATTAGATGATAATTTTTTTATATTATCAATGTATATACATAAACGAAATTCTATATAGTACTCCACAAGGAGAGCCCCTATAGCTGTTGGGTCGATTCTCATTATCTATTTTCCCTTTTGTATTTTATGGTTAGTTATATTATGATATTTTAGATCAATAACAAATAACATAAAAGTTAGTTAATAAAATATAGAGATCTTTATAAAGTCTTTTCTTCTATTTGAATTATAAGTAGTTCATTCATGTTATAGAAATTTTTGTTCACAAAATTATGCATTTACAAAAATGCATTTTAGTAACTTTATTATTTTTAGTGGTGCTATTTTTTAAAGCAAATTAAAGGCAAAGGTAAACGTGCCTTCCATTTCTATTTAATATTAATATTCCGTTTTTTGTCTCTCAAAATACTAGGTTCCTGAAAGGGACCTTAGCGTTCATTCTCATCATCTCTGGGGAACAAATTTCTCTAAACCTTACAGGAGGTAAAATTTTCCTAATAACAAAATTCGATCGTGAAAATATGTCTTTTTTGTTTGAATTGGTGTTTATTTGCTTTAATTGTGTGAGATTATTCTTTTTTCTGATTGTTATTAATTTGTTTGAAGTGCAATTTTTTCTGGTGCTTTAGGTCTTTTTTCTTATACTGAATTTAAATACGTGAAATTTCACATTGTCCTGTGTCAAAGTTTGCATTTTTATGGGTTGTTTGAGAAAATTAAAGTTTCAATTTTTATTTGTCTATTCACAGATTTAAAAGACCCATATGTATTGTTGAATTGAGAAATCCCCATATAAGAAATTTGCATTTTTGGATGTTATTTTTGTTGAATTAAGAGTTTATTTTAAAACGAAAATACTTGTTGTCTATTCATTAGTTATAAAGTTTTCTTTTTTAAGGTTACATAGGAAGCTAATTTGTGTGATGAGATCTAAAATTTAAATCTGGTTTTTTTTGGGTGCTTAAGGTTTTGGGAATGGATGAGGTCATGAAAACAGAGGGTCATTTGACATCACCTGCAGCTTTTGTGGAAGGTGGAATTCAAGATGCCTGTGATGATTCTTGCAGCATTTGCCTCGAGGCTTTCTGCGAAAGCGATCCTTCTACGGTGAATACTAGTGACATTTCGCTTTTAGTTAAATGTTTAATATAGCAATGTTTTGGTGCTTCAATTTTTTTATAAGGACGTGCTAATGCTTATAAAAAAAAATTGAAGCATTTATAAGGACGGGCTAATGCTTAATATCCCAGACCCCACTTTGTGGGATTTTACTGGGTCGTTGTTGTTGTGCTAATGCATAATATATGTGTTTTTTTCTTTCTAATAGGTAACTAGCTGCAATCATGAGTTTCATCTCCAATGTGTCCTGGAATGGTACGTAGCTGCAAAAGTTTTGTTTACACTATCTTTGCTGTTTTCGACAATATTTAGGCAAATAGATTGATATTGTGTATCTTGTTTTTTCCCTTTATTGGGGGGGGGGGGGGGGGGATGGTTTTGGTAACATAATGTGAGATTGAATAGCAAACAGACAGGTGGAAAACTTGCTTTTTTGGCTAGTTCCAAAATGAGCCAGGGAAAGTAGATGGCTTAGTAACTCATTTGAGCAAATTATATGTCACAACTTTGAAACTCAATGTTACCTAACAAAGTAGAAGTGTATTGTGTATACACACACGCGCTATACAATGAAGAAGGGAAAAGAATATGACTGGTCTTTGAAAGGTAATAGGCGGAACTGGATGCTAGCGAGTCTGTTGGTGGTTGTTAATGTTATTTCTATGTGGCATTGGCTTTCTGTTATTTACAACCATCTTTTAGTAGTTACTCAATGCCATATATTCTCTAGCACATAGTTTTTCACCAGCTTCATTTAGGATTTTGTCTTGCTTTCAGAAAACAAAAGGCATAGATTATGCACTCAAACAATTGGCCCAAAGCAATCCTATGGACTTTGGGGGGGAGTTGGGGGGGGGGGGGGTTGCTAGATGTATTTCTCTCTGCTATTGTGCTATCCGAGATCGGTTTTATGAGTTGCTAGATCGTATAAACGTGGATACTGCAAGCATGTCTTTGCTGGAAATATTCAATATGGAATGCAAATGAGGCATTTTTTATTTGCCTAATTAACTTGTAGAAGGGAGAAAAACTATTGCAAACTTTGGAGCTTGTGCAGCTCTGTTAAGAAAAGTGTTATGTATACAAATATCACTTGATATATAGCTAAATTTACTTTGGTATTGAAGTTCAATAAGAATTCATAAATGATTACTTCTAATCTACTATCCAGGAAATATACTCTTTATTTTAAGGTAAAAACTGGCGAAAATTTGTGTGGAAGCATAAATGGATACTAAGAAACAAGACTCTCTTCTGCTGTAGAGAATTGCTGGTTACAGACTGTTCCTACTCCTTGCACCTAAAATATGTTACAGAGGTTGTTAGTGAAAGTACCATGTCGTCTTAAGTATTATTGTTTTTATGATGTTTATTAGCATTATTTGGTTTATGCTTCTTAAGTAGGTCTAGATATATAACGAATCAGAGCTTAAAATTACTATTGTCTTTATGATCAAATATAGCAGCATGATTAGATTTACCTAAAGAGGAAAGCAAGAAGCTATCTGCGGAAGAAACATCTGTCAAGCTTTAATGGGAGACAAAGCATCTAGTTACATGGTTTTACTTTGGTGTTTTCTCGCTATTATTGGAGGTGGAATGGAAGGATATTGTGGACTGTATGCAGTGGTGGAGCCAGAAATTCAGACAAGGAGATTCAAAAAATACTAGAGTGTCCCACCTAGAATTTGAACATGTGTTCTAAAGCAACTTTTGGACTCCCTCTGGCACTATACTAGAGTCTTCTCTCATTTCAAGGGGATTCAACCGTTCAAATATGACCAAAAGAAAATTCGATATTCTCCTATTTGTACAATACAATTTTTCGGCAAAGGGGATTCAGTTGAACCCCTTTCCTCCCTTTAGCTCCATCCCACTGTATGAGTCACTTGAATGAAAGTGGTGATTTTGAGGAAGAATATTACCGTTTTTTTGCGGAATCACGATCCTTGAGAGAAATGGTGTTTTGGACATCAAGAACTTCAGACCGTTTGATAGCACGGTTTAAACAAAGCTCATTAATATCTCAGAAAATGTCTTTGTTGGGAGGTAGGAGATAGATCCTAGATGTGGTTCTTATTATTAATGAGGTTGTGAACTCAAGACTGAGTAGTGGAAACAGATAAGTCTATTCAAATTGGATATAGACAGGGCACTGAATTATGTGAGTTAGAAGTTCTTGTCGTACATATGACTATTTTTGTAGTTAAAATTATGTCAGACAAAAGAATTTGAAGAGAAACTGTGCGAAAAAATGTTTCTCTACCCTCATCGCTTTTCACCCACCGTTTTTGGTTTTACGTGTCTACATCAGAGGCCATTGCTTCTCTACATCCATGCCTCATTTTTTTGAAGGAACATAAACATTTTATGAACCGTAATTTTTTTTATTATCTACTGTTTAGAGAATATGCTGTAGGGATGCAGTAAAAATACCCTCTCTCACTCACTCACCCACACCCACAAACTACTCTGTTTTTGATTAGAGTTATAAACATTTCTTTGTACGCTAGGACACCTTTGTTGAAGAACAAAATAACCTTTTTTTTCCGGGGGGGGGGGGGGGGGGGGGTTTAAATGTGTCTGACTTATAAATTGCTTATAAATTGTATTTATTCTGGAACATGAGAAGGAAATGATTGAGGGACTATACAGTTATGATGAACACTGAAGTATACAGTCTAATTAGTTTAAATTTTTTAAAACAGGTGTCAGAGAAGTTCTAATTGTCCAATGTGTTGGCAGTCCATAAGTTTGAAAGATCAGATGAGGTTCGATTGGCTTCTTTTTTTCAGTCCATATTTTTCATGATTCTGATTCGGGGGTGTAGGCTTTACTTGACTTTAATTGACTTCCCTCTTTCAGTCAAGAATTGTTTGAGGCTCTGGAACAAGAAAGGAACTTTAGAGTTAATGCGGAAAGAAATGCTACACTATTGCACCTTCCTGCGCTTGGAGATTTCGGATTACAGCATGTATGTGGCCATCTTAAAGGATAAGCATTTTTCACCTGTCATTTTTTATGAAGTTTCACAAGCTAGCATGTTGCATTTACCTCTACTTATTTTTTTCTTTCATTGCACTGCAGTTACCTGTGGATATTGATGATCCTGAACTTGAAGAGCGCATTCTTCAGCATTTGGCTGCTGCTGTTTCAATGGGAAGGGCTCACCATGCGGGTCGAAGGGAGGGCTCAAGAAATCGCTCATCCGCCAATGACCGTCCACAATTTTTTCATCCTAATTCCTCTCCAACCGCTTCTGTTTCACCTTCTCCTGCGGGATTAAATTCTGATCTTGCTGCAGCCACAATAGCTGATTCTTCTCTTCCCATTACCCCCGGTAACAGTGAATCAGCACAACATACGCCTCACCTTTCATCAGTTCAAAGTAATCAACTTTCTGCTTCATCATCTCGATCTGTTCTGAACCCAGCCACAATACAAGGAATATCTATTGGTGATAGGTAGTAATGGTTTTCAACATCCTTTCAATTTTATGCAAACACTTTGGCTTTATCTTAAATTGGTTTATATTATGGAATAGGTTGGTTAACACATGTAGATTTCTTAAATCAGCTTTCATTTGTTTTTGGGTTTCTGTCTTTCTAGACACTCTTCTAGTTCGTCTTTGACACCAAGCCAAGGGAAAGCTGGACCATCAGACCTTCAGTCACTATCAGAGTCCTGGAAATCTCGATTTAATTCTCTATCAATGAAGTATGAATGACTTCACTCAAATGATTTTTATTCTTAATCTAAGCAGTTGTGCGTGTTTTATGTTTTGTTGTCATCTTAAGCCACATTATATATGGTCTTGTCTTCCAGATATAAAGAATCAATCTCAAAGAATACACGAGGGTGGAAGGAGAGATTGTTTTCTCGAAGCTCTTCAATGCCTGATGTTGGTTCTGGTAGGAGCAAGGCGAATGCTGGAATTGCTAGTCTATCTCGCCTGATGGAACGCCTGGAAACTCGAGAAAATAGTAGAGCTGGTTCTGTTTCAGCAGTTACTAATATAGTGGATTCTTCACACACACTCCAGAGAGACCATGGTAATATGGGTACTCATATTGGAAATGGATTGAACCGAAACTCAACAGCTTCTGCTGCAAGTTCAGCTCGGAATTAAGTCTTCTATTTAAGCATTTACCTGGCATCTGTCCTCAGCATTTCATCTTTGAATGTAAGTCATTGCTCCTGTAAAGGGACGTTTTCTTTTCCCTTCGGTGCCTTTCTTTCTTTGTTGCGCTTTTCCTTGTTTATAGCTTTAAAAATGCTGTTTCTTTATTACTTTTGATGATGTTAAAAATGGGGTCATTGTCATTCTCACTATTGTTATTCTCACTGAATAAAAGGTCAAGATACATGATCATACACTTCCCTTATTTGAATGAAAATTTGTTATTTGGTAGTAGTGCATGAAAAGAATCTGCTGATACTTTCAAATGGAGACCAGATAACTGAACTAACCACATTTGGTTTTAGAATTTTGCAATGTTAACTTTTTCAAAACTGCACATAATTTGTTTGGTTTGAAAATTCATCTTGTTCATGAAAAATAACCCAAATGGTTATATCCTGAAACCAATAACATATATTCTTATTTTCTGAAACAACTACTTATTCCAGGACAATTCAGATTTAAATGTTCCAATTTTCCTAAAATTGTTTAGTGGTTACATAATTAATTAATTACTGCCTGATTGGTAGTTTGGCAGCTCTGAAGTTGCCCTATGAAAAATGTAGGAGAAATTCATATGTGAAACAATATGTTAGCTCTAGTACATTTCTGACTCTTTTTTTCACTATTTGTCTTAATTTTTTACCTTGTGTCTGGGAACTTAAGCCGGAATGGTGTCTTAGAATCCAGAGCCGGAACTTAAGTAGGAATGATGTCTTAAGTCAGAAATTTGTAGAGAACCATATTGTTTTTGTAAGTTGTCTACTCTTCTATGTACCACTTGTATACTGAGATTTTCTCTTGCCTCATGAATAAATTATCTTTAAAAAATATTTACCCTGGACCCATCATTACAAGGAGAATATATTAGTCCTGCATTCTTTTTGGAAAACCTAGGGATTGCTGAGTTGCTTACACTTTTGGTTTGTCACTCGCCCTATGCATCGAGTACAGCAACAGAAACTAAGGATTGCTAAAGATACTTTCTTGCTTTGTCGGTTTGTCCCTTGCCCTATATTGAGTGGAGCAGCTCTTGTTATCGGTACCTCTTTGCTTTTGTTGCTAGTTGAAGAGGTCTCTTTTGGTTGCTAAAAGGCAACCCTATAAAAGAAACAATGTAAGTAGTATAAACTCGCATAAGAATCTGGACCTTTTTACTCTATTTTCGCTTAATTTACTGGATTTTTTTTTCATTTTCAGGTTATTAACTTGCCGGGGTTCAAATATGACATGCTGAGGACGAGATATCTTCCTCCAGTCTTTTCAAAAGGAGCAATAGCAGTTGCAACATGAATGTGATTTGCCTGTATATTTGTTTATACGTTAACGTGAATCGAATGTTGAACCATATCACTAGAATATTATGTTTTTGGTTATCATATAAACCTTACATAGTTCTGTTTAAGGGGTTTTTTTATTTTTTTTTGGGGGGGGGGGGGGGGGGAGGGGGGAAGAAGAAGATGTGGACAAGCAAAATAGCTGCATTTGTTCTCGGGCTTTATTTTCATCTTAGGCACATTACATTGGGTTAGCCTTTGCGTCTACCTGTTACACTTTCCCCGTTGAATATACTTTTAATTGGAATTGTTTCGTTATGTATTATTTTTTTTGTTTCTATGTATATCATGAATAGTATATCATTGAATTTATATTAGTTTTGGTAACTAAGAAATGTAGATAGTTAAAGGAATCCTAGGCTTTCATGGAACTAGGTACTATTACCTTCAAGAATGGGAGAAGACATTTGTGGCGTCAGGTACGCAGACGATGCGGAAGGAGCATATGGATTCAATTGAACCCAATAGTTTTACACATAAAAATAAGGAATTTTTACACCTTATAGAAAACCTTAGTACCCTATTTATTTTAAATAAATATCATTTTAAAATATTATATTCTATAGATACCTTTTATACTTTATAGCCAAATATCTAATTATAGGTACATCCTACATTTAACGCACCATAGATGCTAAATAATATTTTTCTCTCTCCTTTTTAGTCTTTCTCTCACATAATCACCGTAAAATTGACTAACCACGTTCTCTCTCTTTTTGCATACACTTTACTCTTTCTCCCTCAACCCACGATTCATACCTCTTCTCCAACCCAAATTCTCTAGTTCTCCTCCATTATCACTCCATTACAATCGCTTAGGGTAAGTTTAATTCGTTGATTTTGATAGACGAAGAGCAATTGGTTCAATTGTAGCGGCTCGATTCTGCATGGCAGTGGTCGTCGAAGTAGGGTTCACAGCTTTTGTGTAATTCATGGCTTCGTTTGTGGGATTTAAGGGCTGGGGATTGTTTGTAGTTGTTGTAGGAGGTTGGGCAGATGTGTTAGAGGGCTGACCAGCCGGAATTAATGGCTGGCCGCCGGCCGGCGAAGCCATAAGGCTGTTTCTCTCTCTAGATCGCCCAAATCGCCTATTTGTATTCAGTTGTATTCGAATGTATATTTCAATTGTATTCACATGTATTCAGCAGCATTCATTTATATATTGTAGATGTATTAAAAAGTTATGCGTATTCTCTTTTATTCAGTTTTAATCAGTTGTATTTAACTATTTTATTCAGCAATAGTTAGTTGTATTCAAGGTGTTTTAATCAAACTGTTTTATACAACTGTATTCAGTTGTAGTTAGTTCTATTCAACTATTTTATTCAGCAGAAGTTAGTTGTATTTTGTTGCATTCAAGAGTTTTATTCAGCTGTATTCAGTTGTATTTTGTTATATTCAAGTTGATTTTATTCAGTGAATTAAGTTGTATTTTGTGTATTCAACTGTATACAGTTCTACTCAACTGTATTATTCATATGTATTTTCTTTATTCAGCTATATATCTTTATTATGTATCTTCAAATACAGATTAATGAGGATCGTTTAGTTGAGTTAAATTGGAGAAAATCATGTGATTTGATTTCCTTCCGTTTTTAACCAGTTTAACCTTCCAGATTTTGCGCAGATACGTTACTGGTTATTTAACGTTAATGCCGCTTGAATACAGCTAAAACATGTCAAACTTAGCTGGAATTCCACTTTTACGCCTATTTTTTTGTTGTATTAATGAATACAACAGCTTAAATACATAAAATACATTGTATAAAACATAAAAGGTATCTATAACACGTAATATAGCAGAAAGGGTATTATAAATGGTTAATTAGACCTAAAGATGGTGCTTTATGAAAAATTCTCTAAAAATAAATGTGGAAATTCACAACTATTGTTGGTAACAATTGAACTTGTAAACCTTAGGGAAATCTACACCGTACAGCCGCCAAAAATAATAACCGACAAATATATATTTGATTAGTGACTGTAATTTTTTTTGACCGACAGGAAATATGTTAAAAGCCCTAAACCTTAGTTAGAAAATTGGGATTTTTTCATTCCTATACACTATTGGAAACTTTATTACCCTAAATGTACATGTTTTAGTAATTACCCTACTACACAAGTTTTGTTTACAAAATATATACATTCCACCTTAAAAGGCTCCAATCCATTATTAGTGCCTTCAATTAAGGGATTTAGTTACACCCTTTTCCTTTTTTTTTCTCCTCTCTGCCCTCTTCTCTCCGGATTCTGTCTTTCTCCTTATTTCTCGAATTCCTACAATACAACATCAAGAAAATTCCATAGTTGAACTTGAGACATAGATGATTGAATATTATGTTAGTATATAGGAGTAGCTTGTAAATGAATTAAGTCAGAATAAATACAAAGGATTAACATAGTAAATCCATCGATTCATGTTGCTTTATTTATTTATTTTATTTTTGGCACAGAATACATGATTTAATTAGGCTGCTAAATAGTGGACGTTTGGACTACTTTATATAGAAGAGTATCGGAATTCAAGAGGTACAGAGGAATAACCATAACCATTTGACTCTACCCAATAAACACTATAAATCCCACGTCCATAAGTCCGTCAAATGACTTAAGCTTTTTACATTCATAATATAGAGAATTTTTACAAAATCATAATATTTTAAATTTGTGTACTAGATAATTCGTTCTTTTTTAAAATATTCTAAAATCACTTTTTACGAATAGTTATTTTCTGGTGATTTGATAGTTTTTTTAATACATTCTTCATTCCTGATAACATGCGACGAAAACACCTTTGCCGAAGCCTCTCTCACCTCCTAGTTATAAACAACTACAATATAATACCACTTAAATACAAATTTACAAATGTCTTTTGTATATTTTGTATTAATTTATACATAGTAAAAACAAATTTCATACAACTAATTATATATTATACAACTTATCTACAATTTTCATACATTATTTCTACTCAGTTATATACAACTACAATATAAATACCACTTAAATACAATTCTTATACAAATTTTATACAATATGTCTTTTGTATATTTTGTATCTAATTTATACATAGTAAAAATAAATTTAATACAACTAATTATATATTATACAATTTTCTCTACGATTTCACACATTATTTCTACCAGTTAAATACAACTACAATAACATACAACTTAAATACAAACTTTATACAATATATCTTTTGTATATTGTTTGTATCTGATTTATACATAGTAAAAATAAATTTTATACAACTAATTATATATTATACAACTTATCTACAATTTTCATACATTATTTTTACTCAGTTATATACAACTACAACATCATACAACTTAAATATAATTTTTATACAATGTTGTTCAACGTTCATACAATAGTTAAATGAATAAAAGAAAAATAAATAAACAACAGAATACAATTTTTCTATAATTTTTCTACAATTTTACTACAATTTCTGCAATATAATGTATGTCATATCTTCTTCTTCTTCTTCGAGTTTTAATCTGAAATTCAGCCAAAACCAGGTCTAATCTTCACCAAAACCCCTCAAAATTGAGATATAAACTCCAAACCATATTCCAATTATTTGCAACAACACCCAATCCAAACAAATAATGATTTTTGAAAATCCAAATTCGAATTCAAAGCTTCAAAACTTTTTAATGGCTGTCAATGGTGGAATTGCTGCTCTCTTTTCCTTTGCTTTATATTACTGAAATTTGGGATTGAGAGATAGAGAGAGACGTAGAGAGAATTCTCAATTCTTTGCAACAACATCTAATCCAACAAACAATGTCATTTGAAAACCCAAATTCGAATTCAAAGCTTCAAAGCTTTTTAATGGTTGTCAATGGTGGAGGGGTTACAGATTTTCGCTGGTTTTAGAAGAGGAAATAGTGGGTGATTTAAGAGAAAATCGTGGGGTGTGGTTTGATACATGGGTGAGGGGGTGGGATTTGGAGAGGGAAACTTGGAGGGGGTGGAAATATATGGTAGAGTTAAATTAGGAGACTAATTAATACCATTAAAACCCCTAAAATGTACATAAATGGTAATTAGGTATATAAAAGGTAATTATATTAAAAGTTAAGCATGGAGGGTAATATAGTTTACTACATGGCATAGGAATGTAAAAATTCCTAGAAAATTTGGACCTTAATGTTATATCAAGAACAAAGCCTCTAGCCCAAGCCCAAGCCCAAAAGGATTAAGTAGGCTCCAAAACAATTGTTATATGTGAATGTGAGTATACAGTCGATAAGCTCTAGAAAAACGGATGAAATTCAAAAATAGCCAGATTTACAAGTAGTAACTGAAAAGTAGTCACAGTTTCAAAAGTAATCGAAATTTAGACACTTTTCTTGTATAGATAAATTTGAACGAAAACACTGTTCAAAATCTGAAAAATATTCCAGCATAATATACCAGAGTTCGAATTTTTTACATCTGAACTTCCAACATAATATACTGGAGTTACAATATAATATACTGGTCCGGCATAATATGCTAGAAGTTCATACACATGTGCTCCAATCTCTAGTATATTATGCTGGAACTTTCCATGTGTTGGAGCTGAAAGTTCATACACAGATGTACCAATCTCCAGTATATTATGCTGGAACTTTTCGTGTTGCAGCAAAATAATGACAATCCAATGACTTTGCAGACGCTGGCTATATATTTTTCAATTACTAATCCGAAAATTGGTTAGCACGTACTATTTTCACGAAAGAAACACATAAGAATAAGCAATACCTAATTCTTTCATCATATGTGTGGCTTTGAAATTTTAAGCAAAATTTAAGCCTTATCAAAATTAGGTTTTTCGCGGAAAATAAAAGAGAAGAAAGAGATAATCTTCCTATAAAGAAAACGACAAATTCCTACTAAAGGTATAAAATCATGAATATAGACAGTGAAATTCCAACTATAAAACAAAAAACAAACCCGTGTTTTGATGGTAAGTAGGAATACATATTGGAAAAAAAGGAGAGATGTGATTGGTATTTCACTAGTTCG